AAGAATCGTTGTTACAACCAAGTACACATTTTACTATTGAGTTAAACAGAGGCTACAGTTAAGGATTTGCGCCCAGTAAATCCTCCGCGGCCAGGATACGAACCCATGACAAAGTGCTCGGGGAACGCCAGGCGAGTGTCTTACCACTACACCACGGAGACTGGTACGAATCTATTCAGGAAAAGTATGTACATGCATGAAGGGTTAGAGCATAATGTTGGGTTTATAGATATAGTTAGTACATACAATACCTAAAGCCACCAATACGCATTGCGTTTCGGGCAAAAACGAAATCTCAATTATCTCAAATTATTTTGAGATAATTAAGCTTAAATGCATGTGTATTTTGATAATTGATTGATCCTGTCTACTTAGGTAATGATTCCAAAGATTGTCCTTCCTTTCCTCCTTGAAATCTGGTGTAGCAGACTGCACAATTATCAAAAGTGTAATATATGTTTACGTAGTTCGACTTGTATGCACATCGAGTCGATAAATGATAATAATTGTTTAAAAATGTTCTTTCATTTTTAAATGTTTACAATTGTTTGAAGGATGAACAAATCCACAATGGCCGTAATGAGGGTTCGAACCTACGTCCGGGATAATCTCAGACGCGCCATGACATGGTCCGACATGCACCTGGGTACATGGGGGAATTGTGTAAAAACCCTGGTTAGTGTCTCGGAGAGGCTGCAGGATCCGTGTGAGGGCAGTAGCACTCCCTGTTTCAATTCTTTTGACCATCTCGTGGCGCAATCGATTAAGGCGCATTTGGGATCATCCTGGACGTAGGTTCGAACCTTCATCACGGCCCTTGTGGATTTGTTCATTTGATGTATCGCACAATTGTGACTGCTGTGTGTATTTAAAGGATGTTCTGTCTTGGTCTAGAACATCTCCAGTGTTCCACTGAAGGATGGGGCAGTATGCTGGATGTTCTGGAACACGATAGAATATAACTGTTAGCTGGCTGTAGATAGTTGGTTTAAGTTGTTCCATGTGTGTAGTTCATTGTCAATGTCTAATCTCCTATTCTCATTGAGTATGTCGATAATTTATGTGTTGTTTGTGAGGATATCTCTGGTGATGATCTGGTTATGTGTAGTAATTATACGCTCTTTGTTGGAGCCTCGTTGTATGTGTATTGACATGCACCTTGAGAGACGTAGTGCTGACCTGCCAATATACTGAGATGCACTAACAACAAGACTCCACTAAGAATTTATAATATCTAGAATCTTTGATATCTCTCATATTCAGTAACATGTCTACAAGAAAGGTTACTACTTAGGTAATGTAGTGGCCCTATTGTAATGTTACGGCCCTATTGGGTGGCAACTGGGGTTCTTCTCTGATGTTATTAGAGTTTGGGTATCCGGCCCCAAGTTAGTAGTGGCTTTCAAGGGGTGTGTTCCGTAACGCAAGTAAATTAAAGGGGAAGGGATAAAAATGCACTAATCTAAATATATATATATTCCACCACCATAAATAAATATCTCACAGTCACTCGCTGGGTCTATAACTACACTTATGTACAATAACTTGTCTCCCTCTGAAGACACAGGATGCTTTACGGTGCTCAAGACGAGTAGCCCTGGTTCTCTTCTTGTGGCCTCACGATGAATCCTTTGATTCCCTAGGCGAATCTTCCCTGGCCACAGGCCAGCCAAATCACAGTCCCACTGGGTGCACCGTCGTGGAGGCCTTCAACCACAAATCCAGCCTGTAGCTGGCAGGTTCCAATCAGCTCCGCTTCGTAGGCCACTCCACGACCGATACTAGGGTTGCGAGCCCTAGGCAGGAGCCTCGTGTGATTCCACAGATCACTCTCCTCACCACAGTGGCTAGTCTCTTTCACCAGTCAACCCCCGGGTACGACGATTCCTCAACTCTGCCACGTCACAGGCAGACTAACACTCTCAGCATTGTTCGTCCAGGAGCAACTCACAGCTTCTGCAGCAAACACGTGGAGATACTTTGGCTGCCTTGGGTAGACTGCCCATCGCCCGATACAGCAGTCCCAGGTCGACTCTGTAATCAGACACGTCATCAGTACTAGGGACACCCTAGGGCACCTCACTTACAGGCTTAGACCCAAACGCCCACCTATCCACTCCATAGATGGCGTTGCTGTCTAAGCGTCACCTCACCAGAGGTCAGCAGCGGCTATGTCACGAGCTGATTAGGACGGGAAACCAGCCCCTGTGGCCGGTATATCTCGTCCTCACTAGATGGCGTCGTCCATTTGGAGGGGGTTTTGGGAGCTGACCCACAGATGGCGTTGTCGTCACTGCTCCGTGCTCGGACGCTGGACTCGGGTCCGTAACACTAGAATATACATTTAATAAACTAGAAAAGTAGTACACATATACAATACACTAGACAATTAGTACACACTTGTATACTAGACAAGTAGTACACTGTGAAGATGTCGACGCCATTTGTTGAGTGCACCCGACTCCAATTCTTTTACGAGGGAGAGGTGTGGCGAGACCAACGCCATCTGTTGTGTGCAGTCGACCCCATTTTCTATTCCCTGGTGGAAATCTGTGATCTTACTGACACCTGTGTAGTTTCTTTCTTACTAATCATATTAAGAAAGCACCACCCCACATCACTCCTCATAAGTGACTCCTGGTTCAACCTTGAGGCCGAGCGGACGTCTGGACTCCTCCGCCTGGGAGCCGCCTGATCACGTCTTGTTTTCTCGTTTTGGCTTTGCTACTGCCGTTTGGCATCCCTTTTCAGCGGTCCGATTGTACGACGCCTGGCGCACATATCGCCTTGGGTCACGGGATTGTTGATAGATTTTTTTTTTGGCGTGTTCTGGCTGGTTCTCCCGACGGTGTTCGGGGGCCGGCTTGGCCGAGAGGTGCTGGGGGTTGGCGGGTCTTGGTGGGCTCCTGGTGTGGCCTCAGTCGTGGTGGGCGGCCGGCTTCTGCTCTGCCGGGGAACGCTGGATGACTTTTTGCGTTTTACTTGGGGGCCGAGTTTTGGTTTTGCTACCTGGTGTTCTCTGTGTGGAGCGGGGCCGGTGCTTGTCACCCTGAGGGACTCCTGGGACTCCCCAATCATCTGCCTGACTGTGCGTTTATTTGCCGTATGGCATATTAGTTTCTAGTGATTGGCGTCACTCGTTTTGCGATTTGGCTTGGCGTTCCACCTTTCCAGGCTTCGCGATTCACCCTAAACGGGTACGCCGGGGCGCATCCGATCCCTCGATCGTCGTCGCCCCTAAATCAACAACAACAACAACTCCTCATAAGTGATGTGGGTGGTATCTTGTACGACATGAATTAGTTCACAAAGGGCAGTCCTGAACGTGGCCGAGTCGGTGTAGACAGTGATTTGTGTGTGATACTTGTCGAAGTATTGGTAACTGAACCGACGCACCCTGGGATGGTCAGGTTGAGTTACCACATGAAAGTACTGCCCGTCTGTTAAGGATTGTTGTTGTGAAGCCTGTGTGAAACCCTGCCAGTGTGTTGCTGGAGACCCCTGCCAGTGTGTTGCTGGAGACCCCTGCCAGTATGCTGTTGCTGGACACCCCTGCCAGCGTGTTGCTGGAGACCCCTGCCAGTGTGTTGCTGGAGACCTCTGCCAGTGTGTTGCTGGAGACCCCTGCCAGTGTGTTGCTGGAGACCTCTGCCAGTGTGTTGCTGGAGACCCCTGCCAGTGTGTTGCTGGAGACCCCTGCCAGTGTGTTGCTGGAGACCTCTGCCAGTGTGTTGCTGGAGAGTAGAAGTGGTGCTTTGGCACCGTGACGATACTGTGTAGGACTGGCCCCATGATTTACTGAGAGAGGTGAACTCGCTGGTGTGAGGGCCATGGAAGACAGACTCAGGGAGGGGCACTTTGAGTGTTGTACAATAGAAAATAGAAGTGTACTCGCCAGGAAAGAAGATTGCAGAAGTATAAAGTGTCCTGTGCGAAAGTGACGCTTGCAGTGCTATGTCATGTACATGTGTGTGTATATATAGTTAAGAAGTCCAATTGGTGATGGTTCTGTTTAGTGTTGTTTACCCCTTTTCCATTAGTGATTATTACTGCTGCCAGTTCTTAATAACTTACCAATGATTCTGGGTGGATCGAGTAAGAGGCACTAAGGCCCAATGTACAGTTTTGATAAGTAATGAACTCGGTTACTGGCTAAGTGAGGCCGTAACACACACACACATACAACACACTAGACAAGTAGTACATTCTGGAGTTTGATGAGAGGCGGTGTAAACACAGCTTCGAGCACTATTCGGTGAACAGTAACAATGTTTCGTTAACCTCGAGACTCTTCTGTTATTAAAGCTTAAAACATGTTAAAGCACACCAACACAATGTTGCCCAGGTCTGGTAGCCAATATGAAGGTCCAATTATCTGCCTAGTTGTACCTTCATTGAAAGCAATTTGGATAGACACGAATGAAGTTAATGAAAGCTTTAACAAGATGAGTTACATGTTTGACGCCAAACCTGACCTGAATGGAACGCTTCGCGTATCTGAATTTTAGATGAGCTAAATTTATATATAATAATCTGTAAAAATAAAAGTCAAGCAGGTCAACTAATATCTTAGCTGAGGTCCAAACAAACAGACTAACAAATAGCTTCTCACTAAAAATGTCAGGTTTGAGATGACTGTGTGTGGTGTAAAGACTGTCAAGGGTCAAAGGTGACTGAGGGATGAGGCAGGAGGGTTGAGGCAACTTGCAAATGTCGGGTCATAGTTGAAAGGTCCCGGGTTCAATTCTTGCAAGTTATAGGTACCCTGAAATCAACTTCTGTGGGTTGCATGCCGGAGAAGGACAGTTGTTGTTCTAGGAGGATTTCAATATGCCTAACATTCCTTCTGCCTCCAACTGTGGGAAACCATAAAACAAATGACAGGATAAGCAACATGCATGTTGCAACACACATGTTGCTAGGGTTTATTCGCAGGATGAGGGACACTGCCAAGTGAACCCGGCCTTTGGGTCATATTGAACACTGTTATCTTCGGACAGGTGGAAAGGTGGAGGTGGAGGAAGCTGTGAGTGTGGGGGAGGCGGAGGCGCGCCACGCCCAGCTGGTGAGGCCCGGAGGCTTCTGGTCTCCTCAACACTGTGTGGCCAGATGGTCCCTCGCTCTCATTGTGCCCTACAGGGACAGACAACACCAGGTCTGTACACACACTATCTCTGTCTTTCTCTTTGTCTGACTGTATGTCTGTCTCTCTCTCTCTCTCTCTGTATTTCTCTTTGTCTCCCCGTCCCTTCGCCCCCCCTCTCTCTCTCTCTCTCTTTTTAAACTAAGTTTAGAGTGAATAAGGGATGTCCAGTGACGTGCCTAGTGAAACTGCAAGCAAGAGCTGTTATCCTACCTTAGCTCATATGATGCCTGCTACTAGAAATTCATTAATATACTTTGAAACTATCACTAGCCTAGTGCTTGAAGCCTCACAACTAATCCAGAGTGTCAGAACCGATCAAAGGCTCCTGTTATGTCTAGAGCAATAACACAGCTGATCTTGGACTCGTCCAGTGACTGATGCCACTTAGTGGAGAGATTTAGCAAGAGATCGGCAGGAGATCGGCATTTTCTAAAACCATGCTGTCGATCATATATTAGCCGATGATGATCAAACAATGATATCATTTGTTGAGCGATTAATGATTCTAGGATCTTGCCAGTAATGGAGAGCAGTGACACAGGTCTGTAGTTACCAACTACTGAGCGGCTCTTATTTTTGTACACTGGAACAACGTCTGCCTTCTTCCATAAGGAGGGCCAAATTCCTTGAACTAGGCACAGTTGGAAGAGGCACGTGAGGGGTGGAGCCAACAGGTCAGCACAGCTTCGTAATAGTCTTGGACTGACCTTATCTGGCCCCACAGCTTGGCTTGTGTTTAAAGTTATAAGGAGATGGAGAACTTCAGCCTGCTGTATAACCACTTCAGTCATCCTAGACACAGTGCTTGGGGCAAGTTGTAGAGACTGATGTTCAGGGATCAGGGACCTGCATCATGGCGGCAAAGTGGTTTACCAATAGATCAGCCTTCTCCTGATTTTTGGTTGCAACAGTTCCATCCTATCGGTTTAGAGGCGGGATTGTGTCCTCAGATGAGTATCCCTGCCGATCCTTCACCAGGGACCACCAGACCTTGAATCCAACCATTGTATTGCAGATGCAAGTTTTCTTCGAGTTTCGGATTCCCTTCTGGATATCGCCCACTTTTGAACTTTTCATTATTCGACAATATTGTCTATGAATATTTCTGTTATTAACCGAGGGATGCTGTTTAAATCTCCTCCAGGCCTTGTTTTTGGCTTCAGCTGCCATCCGGCAGCGATATCCAAACCAAGGCTGATCAGTGGGCTTGGTCACGTACTGCCGGTGAGGGATATGCCTATACTGGAGGTCCACTATACGACTGGTGAAAGCGTTTACTTGGCTGTTTACGTCCCCCTGGAGCAAGGCATTCCAATCAGTTAGTGTGGCCACGTCTGTGGTAGAAAATAATAATAATAAAAAAAGTTACTTCAAGCTCTGAGCGTATGGCTGGCCAGTTCTCTCTGTCCCAAAGCCAGGTAGTTCAAACAGAATCTTCACCTCGATCTGTCGGGATAGTCAGTGTAATAACAACAGCCTGGTGGTCTGAAGAACCAACATATTCCAGATGTCTGCAGTGAACTATGCTTGTAGGAAGGTCAGTTACGACAGAATCAAAGGAAGAGCCTGACATATGGGTAGGAAACCTCACAAAATTTTAAAGGTTGAAGACTGCTAAGAGTTCATCATAATCCTTCTGTATAAGATACTGGTTGAGGTCACCTACAACAGTTGTGCTGCATTAGCAGGGAGTCTAGGTTGTCCATCAGGAAGGTGATGGGGGAAGCACCTTGCCATTGAGGTCTGTACATTGCACATAAGAGTACTGAGGTACCTGGATTTATGCAAATTTTGAACAACTTGATTTTAAGATGACCAGGGATGACCTCATGAATGGGCTGGGCATTTACAGATTTGCTGATGCACACTGCAACTCCTTGACCCTGCCTCTCTCGGCTCATCCATGAGATATAACCGGAAATTGTAGCAAAATTCACAGGTGTCCAGTCATCTAGAAAGGTTTGTAGCACAACAACCACATCAGGATGATGTGGTTGTGCTACAACAACCACACTACTACTATTACTACTGTATGTGTGTATTACTTGTCAGTAAAGCACCGGTATGTGAGCAGCATATTCACAAAACTGTGTGGGAGATCGCCAGCATTGGTAATGAAGCCCCTGATGTTGGCAGATAGTATGCTGATTGATTGACTCCTCATGTCTGCGTGTTGTTTGGGAAGGCAGCTGTGTATGGTGGCAGACCTGATAGCTCACATGCTGGTAGTGTGTAACTCTGCTGTGATGAGTAAGGCACAGCGCTACCTGTAGGCCTTAGATTGATCCAAGATAAGGTCTCTAAACATTTGTTCCTGACTATCCAGAACCTTTTTGGTTCGACATGAGTCCTCTTAATGACCTCTTCAGCGGCAGTAATTGCACCTGGGATCACTCAGACAGGTATCAGCTGTATGCCTCCTGCGATTGCGTTCGATTGCATTTAGAGCAGGGCCTTACTATAAGGCTGGGAAGTTGACTGCCAGAGCTAAGCCGCCGATTGAAGAGATGAGACCCGAGCTGCTGATGTTGACGTTGTTCAGGGCTTTGTTGAGATTGGTGATGCGGTGCCTTGTTATGTTGTGGCTGAGGGTGTGGGGGCCGAGAACGCTGGTTAGGGTGGACACGCCTACGCCCACTCCCTCTAGGCCTATTCTGGCTGGTAGTTTGGATTTGGCCGTGTACAGGTGCTGTGGGCACCTCTTGATTGACAGCTGTAGATGTAGGTACCAGTGTGTCTGAATTGACAGGAGTGGAAGTCACACTGAGTGTTGTATTTGAACTGCTGTGCGTTTCCTCAGTTGGTGTGATAGAAGGTGTTGGCTGAGACAAAGATGTGTCTGGAAGACCTGCGGAAGGATTTGCAGAGTAGGAGTTGCGAGTCGAGGCTCCCTGTGAAGCTTTATATGCTGGATCGATTCCCACCAAGCTTTAGCCTCGAAGTTACTAGCAATATAATTGGACCAGCAACTGTCAACCTCAACACTTGGTGCAGAACAGCTTGAGTCTTTTGCTGAAACTGAGTTCTGTTTGCGGTTCGAGATCCAATACAGTCCGGGTTTATGGAATATGTTCTGATTTTTCACACACTGGCTTGAAGGAGTCAATGAGCCCTAGAATGTCAATCAGAGCCTCCCTATTTTGGGGAGTTTTGAGTACTTAAACTGCTATTGTTTTCTTAAATATTTGTTGATAATTTGTTCCCTCGGTAAGAGCATTGCAGTTCTCGTGCTATCAGAAGAGGGTATGGTCGACCGAATCCAAACAGGGAAGAAGTTGACACCTTCGTAACCACAATATTCTAAGATGGAGTGCACTTATAGACCCCCATATGTTTGGACCTGGGCCTAGACCACATGGAGGTCCAGGACCATTACTGTACTCTACCTTCCTGTACATTATAACACAATGAGACGAATTCCAAAATAACTCCTGGAGGGAGTTCATAGATCAAGACATGGAAGCCTTATGCGAAAATCTCTCAACGGTCATCACTGAACTTGCTAACAAAAATACGCATAAGAAAGTACGACAAACGTAAAGGAACAAGATGAATGACGCCCGCCAAACACACACCGAAACTACGACGTTGGTGCAACGTTCGAACAAGTTTTAACACCTCCTAACCAGTTATAACAACCAATATATCAAGTTGTAACAACGTTCTAATACGTCATAAACACGTTAAGCCAAGATGTAACAACTTTATTACAAGTTGTAACAAGCGGAAAAATGGAGACAGTTTCGGTTTGTGTTTCCAGGGACAGAGGTAAAAAGAGCTATAACAACAAATCGAAAACGCTAGAAGTATAATAGTACCAGGAATTACATAGATTATGGGATATACAAGAGAATATTCAATTCATCTACTCTGGAAATCAGATCAACCAAAAGAAACTATGAAAGAAAACTTGCTCAAAATATTAAGAGATCAGTATTTTGATCTTTCTTAATCTAAAAGAAAGTATTTTGTTGTTTACCTAGAAAGTCAGACAAAGACAAAAGACCCAATTGGACCCTTGAATGATGAGACCAGGTTGTAAGTGATGGTAAAAACACAATCATCACTCTGCACGTGTATCTTACATCAGTGTTCACATCAGAACGATTAGATAATATCAGTCCCCACACAAGTGTTAGAAGCAGGCGGGAAGAAAATTAAAGAATTGTCTCATAACGTCTGAAAAAAATCACAGGAAGAGCGTTGACATATGAAAGGATTAAAAACCCAAGTTGTGGCGCCTAATAATACCATTACAGCACCGGTAATGACTTAACACCAATACAGCAGCGTTGGTACAGCAGTTTTCTATTAACACCAGTACAGCACCGGTAATGGCTTAATAATACCAGTACAGCACCGGTAATGGCTTAATAATACCAGTACAGCACCGGTAATGGCTTAATAACACCAGTACAGCACCGGTAATGGCTTAATAATACCAGTACAGCACCGGTAATGGCTTAATAATACCAGTACAGCACCGGTAATGGCTTAATAACACCAGTACAGCACCGGTAATGGCTTAATAACACCAGTACAGCACCGGTAATGGCTTAATAATACCAGTACAGCACCGGTAATGGCTTAATAATACCAGTACAGCACCGGTAATGGCTTAATAACACCAGTACAGCACCGGTAATGGCTTAATAACACCAGTACAGCACCGGTAATGGCTTAATAACACCAGTACAGCACCGGTAATGGCTTAATAACACCAGTACAGCACCGGTAATGGCTTAATAACACCAGTACAGCACCGGTAATGGCTTAATATTACCATCGCAACACCTATAAGATAGTGTAAAAATACTTGTACACCAAGTGAAATGCATAAATTTATCAGCACGACGCATAACACAAGACACTTGTAACTACACTACACACAATATGGGTGTTTCATTAGCAGTGACAAAGAGAATACTTAAACAAATATCTAATGAAGATCTCACCGACCTAACAAATTCACAAAGACCTGAAAGTCGTAGCATTAAATATTATGATAGATATCGTGAGGAGACATTCACATATGGGACTAATAGAACAAGAACCCGGCAATGTGATGTTATAGTGGCCAGAATACGCCTGGGATATAGACGTATCTGGCAGCTTTCTCAAAACCCAAATGTCGAGTACACAATGTGTCAACTTTGTGAAAGAGAAAACATGCACTCTCTTGAGCATTATATTGTAGAATGTCCCATATTGTCTGACTTTCGCCCTCCTGGGCTAAGGTATGCTGAACTGTGTAATTACTATATGAGTACTGGAACACTTGATGATATATTGGACTTGTACCCAAGATTGACCATGTAATGTATCATTTATACAATGTATGTATGTGATGTAACTATATAACCTGAGCTTGTAAAAGCACCTTAATCAACTTCAGTGATAAAGTGCTTAATTGCACACTAGTTTCTCTGTCAGCTATCTCACCCTGTCATAGTAAAAGAGACAAATGTATGTACACACCTAGTTGTGCTTGCGGGGGTTGAGCTCTGGCTCTTTGGTCCCGCCTCTCAACCGTCAATCAACATGTGTACAGGTTCCTGAGCCTATTGGGCTCTATCATATCTACACTTGAAACTGTGTATGGAGTCAGCCTCCACCACATCACTTCCTAATGCATTCCATTTGTCAACCACTCTGACACTAACAAAGTTCTTTCTAATATCTCTGTGGCTCATTTGGGCACTCAGTTTCCACCTGTGTCCCCTAGTGCGTGTGCCCCTTGTGTTAAATAGCCTGTCTTTATCAACCCTGTTGATTCCCTTGAGAATCTTAAATGTGGTGATCATGTCCCCCCTAACTCTTCTGTCTTCCAACGAAGTGAGGTTCAATTCCCGTAGTCTCTCCTCGTAGTGAATATGCATGTGAATATATATGTGAATGCATGTGTGTGTATATATGAATGTATATATGTATATGTACGTATATGTGTGTGTATGTATATGTATGTGTATAAAGTACATATGGAAGCTGATCAGAATTGCATTTCACCTTTGTAAATGCACATTAATGACACTTCGATCACTTTATGTAGGGCATGCGTAAATCTGTGTATCTATTTATTTACGTATGTAGGTTAGCTTAGAATTGTAAAAGTACCGAATCACCTTCTGTGGTTGATTGTTCAATAAATCCCTGAACTATATGTTTAACTGATCTCTAACCCTGTCCATGGAGGACAGAAGAAAATGTATATATGCTCGTTAGCATTGTAAATGTGTGGCCACGTCTGTGGTAGAAAATAATAATAATTAAAAAAACAACTACATTTTGTTCATAAGACACCTGTAAGGTTTAGAAATTCCTGTATGACACCTGTAATGATCTAACTATACCTATACAGGACTTGTAGGGGTAAATATTACTTGTAAATTACCTGGATTATCTTGTGTTTTATCCAGGTGGGCGCCTTCCTGAACCATATGCACCCGTTCCTCCAGCGCCAGCAGCTTAACTACTCCATCTACTTCATCGAGCAGGAAGGTTGGTGTAGCTACGAGCAGGAAGGTTGGTGACGCTACGGGCAGGAAGGTTGGTGATGCTACGGGCAGGAAGGTTGGTGACGCTACGAGCAGGAAGGTTGGTGACGCTACGAGCAGGAAGGTTGGTGATGCTACGGGCAGGAAGGTTGGTGACGCTACGGGCAGGAAGGTTGGTGACGCTACGAGCAGGAAGGTTGGTGACGCTACGAGCAGGAAGGTTGGTGATGCTACGAGCAGGAAGGTTGGTGATGCTACGAGCAGGAAGGTTGGTGATGCTACGGGCAGGAAGGTTGGTGACGCTACGGGCAGGAAGGTTGGTGATGCTACGAGCAGGAAGGTTGGTGACGCTACGAGCAGGAAGGTTGGGGACGCTACGAGCAGGAAGGTTGGTGACGCTACGGGCAGGAAGGTTGGGGACGCTACGGGCAGGAAGGTTGGTGATGCTACGGGCAGGAAGGTTGGTGTAGCTACGAGCAGGAAGGTTGGTGACGCTACGAGCAGGAAGGTTGGTGATGCTACGAGCAGGAAGGTTGGTGACTCTACGGGCAGGAAGGTTGGGGACGCTACGGGCAGGAAGGTTGGTGATGCTACGGGCAGGAAGGTTGGTGTAGCTACGAGCAGGAAGGTTGGTGACGCTACGAGCAGGAAGGTTGGTGATGCTACGAGCAGGAAGGTGTGACGCTACGGGCAGGAAGGTTGGGGACGCTACGGGCAGGAAGGTTGGTGTAGCTACGAGCAGGAAGGTTGGTGATGCTACGGGCAGGAAGGTTGGGGACGCTACGAGCAGGAAGGTTGGGGACGCTACGAGCAGGAAGGTTGGTGACGCTACGGGCAGGAAGGTTGGTGTGACAGGAAGGTTGGTGGCTACGAGCAGGAAGGTTGGTGACGCTACGAGCAGGAAGGTTGGTGATGCTACGAGCAGGAAGGTTGGGGATGCTACGGGCAGGAAGGTTGGGGACGCTACGAGCAGGAAGGTTGGGGACGCTACGGGCAGGAAGGTTGGGGACGCTACGAGCAGGAAGGTTGGGGACGCTACGAGCAGGAAGGTTGGTGACGCTACGAGCAGGAAGGTTGGTGATGCTACGAGCAGGAAGGTTGGTGACGCTACGAGCAGGAAGGTTGGTGACGCTACGAGCAGGAAGGTTGGGGATGCTACGAGCAGGAAGGTTGGGGACGCTACGAGCAGGAAGGTTGGGTTGGGGACGCTACGGGCAGGAAGGTTGGGGACGCTACGAGCAGGAAGGTTGGTGACGCTACGAGCAGGAAGGTTGGTGACGCTACGAGCAGGAAGGTTGGTGACGCTACGAGCAGGAAGGTTGGTGACGCTACGAGCAGGAAGGTTGGGGATGCTACGAGCAGGAAGGTTGGGGACGCTACGAGCAGGAAGGTTGGGGACGCTACGGGCAGGAAGGTTGGGGACGCTACGAGCAGGAAGGTTGGGGACGCTACGAGCAGGAAGGTGGGGACGCTACGAGCAGGAAGGTTGGGGATGCTACGAGCAGGAAGGTGGTGTAGCTACGAGCAGGAAGGTGGGGATGCTACGAGCAGGAAGGTTGGGGATGCTACGAGCAGGAAGGTTGGGATGCTGAAGGTTGGTGCTACGAGCAGGAAGGTTGGTGATGCTACGAGCAGGAAGGTTGGTGACGCTACGAGCAGGAAGGTTGGTGACGCTACGAGCAGGAAGGTTGGTGATGCTACGAGCAGGAAGGTTGGTGACGCTACGAGCAGGAAGGTTGGTGACGCTACGGGCAGGAAGGTTGGTGACGCTACGGGCAGGAAGGTTGGTGACCCTACGAGCAGGAAGGTTGGGGATGCTACGAGCAGGAAGGTTGGGGATGCTACGAGCAGGAAGGTTGGTGACGCTACGGGCAGGAAGGTTGGTGACGCTACGGGCAGGAAGGTTGGTGACCCTACGAGCAGGAAGGTTGGGGATGCTACGAGCAGGAAGGTTGGGGATGCTACGAGCAGGAAGGTTGGTGACTCTACAATCAGGAAGGTTGGTGATGCTACGAGCAGGAAGGTTGGTGACGCTACGAGCAGGAAGGTTGGTGATGCTACGGGCAGGAAGGTTGGTGACGCTACGGGCAGGAAGGTTGGTGACGCTACGAGCAGGAAGGTTGGTGACTCTACAAGCAGGAAGGTTGGTGATGCTACGAGCAGGAAGGTTGGTGACGCTACGGGCAGGAAGGTTGGTGACTCTACAAGCAGGAAGGTTGGTGATGCTACGAGCAGGAAGGTTGGTAACGCTACGAGCAGGAAGGTTGGTGATGCTACGGGCAGGAAGGTTGGTGACGCTACGGGCAGGAAGGTTGGTGACGCTACGGGCAGGAAGGTTGGTGACGCTACGGGCAGGAAGGTTGGTGACGCTACGAGCAGGAAGGTTGGGGATGCTACGGGCAGGAAGGTTGGTGACGCTACGAGCAGGAAGGTTGGTGACTCTACAAGCAGGAAGGTTGGTGATGCTACGAGCAGGAAGGTTGGTGACGCTACGGGCAGGAAGGTTGGTGACTCTACAAGCAGGAAGGTTGGTGATGCTACGAGCAGGAAGGTTGGTGACGCTACGAGCAGGAAGGTTGGTGATGCAACGGGCAGGAAGGTTGGTGACACTACGGGCAGGAAGGTTGGTGACGCTACGGGCAGGAAGGTTGGTGACGCTACGGGCAGGAAGGTTGGTGACCCTACGAGCAGGAAGGTTGGGGATGCTACGAGCAGGAAGGTTGGGGATGCTACGAGCAGGAAGGTTGGTGGTGCTACGAGCAGGAAGGTTGGGGATGCTACGAGCAGGAAGGTTGGTGATGCTACGAGCAGGAAGGTTGGTGACGCTACGGGCAGGAAGGTTGGTGATGCTACGAGCAGGAAGGTTGATGATGCTACGAGCAGGAAGGTTGGTGACGCTACGAGCAGGAAGGTTGGTGATGCTACGAGCAGGAAGGTTGGTGACGCTACAGGCAGGAAGGTTGGTGATGCTACGAGCAGGAAGGTTGGTGACTCTACAAGCAGGAAGGTTGGTGATGCTACGAGCAGGAAGGTGGTGATGCTACGAGCAGGAAAGTTGGTGACGCTACGGGCAGGAAGGTTGGTGACTCTACAAGCAGGAAGGTTGGTGATGCTACGAGCAGGAAGGTTGGTGATGCTACGAGCAGGAAGGTTGGTGATGCTACGGGCAGGAAGGTTGGTGACGCTACGAGCAGGAAGGTTGGTGATGCTACGAGCAGGAAGGTTGGTGATGCTACGAGCAGGAAGGTTGGTGACGCTACGAGCAGGAAGGTTGGGGATGCTACGAGCAGGAAGGTTGGGGATGCTACGAGCAGGAAGGTTGGTGATGCTACGAGCAGGAAGGTTGGTGACGCTACGAGCAGGAAGGTTGGGGATGCTACGAGCAGGAAGGTTGGGGATGCTACGAGCAGGAAGGTTGGTGACGCTACGAGCAGGAAGGTTGGTGATGCTACGAGCAGGAAGGTTGGTGATGCTACGAGCAGGAAGGTTGGTGATGCTACGGGCAGGAAGGTTGGTGACGCTACGAGCAGGAAGGTTGGTGATGCTACGGGCAGGAAGGTTGGTGACGCTACGAGCAGGAAGGTTGGGGACGCTACGAGCAGGAAGGTTGGTGACGCTACGAGTAGGAAGGTTGGTGATGCTACGGGCAGGAAGGTTGGTGACGCTACGAGCAGGAAGGTTGGTGATGCTACGAGCAGGAAGGTTGGTGATGCTACGAGCAGGAAGGTTGGTGATGCTACGGGCAGGAAGGTTGGTGACGCTACGAGCAGGAAGGTTGGTGACGCTACGAGCAGGAAGGTTGGTGACGCTACGAGCAGGAAGGTTGGTGACGCTACGAGCAGGAAGGTTGGTGATGCTACGAGCAGGAAGGTTGGTGACGCTACGGGCAGGAGGTTGGTGATGCTACGAGCAGGAAGGTTGATGATGCTACGAGCAGGAAGGTTGGTGACGCTACGAGCAGGAAGGTTGGTGATGCTACGAGCAGGAAGGTTGGTGACGCTACAGGCAGGAAGGTTGGTGATGCTACGAGCAGGAAGGTTGGTGACTCTACAAGCAGGAAGGTTGGTGTGCTACGAGCAGGAAGGTTGGTGATGCTACGAGCAGGAAGGTTGGTGACGCTACGGGCAGGAAGGTTGGTGAGCAGGAAGGTGGTGATGCTACGAGCAGGAAGGTTGGTGATGCTACGAGCAGGAAGGTTGGTGATGCTACGGGCAGGAAGGTTGGTGATGCTACGGGCAGGAAGGTTGGTGATGCTACGAGCAGGAAGGTTGGTGACGCTACGGGCAGGAAGGTTGGTGATGCTACGGGCAGGAAGGTTGGTGATGCTACGAGCAGGAAGGTTGGTGATGCTACGAGCAGGAAGGTTGGTGACGCTACGAGCAGGAAGGTTACGAGCAGGAAGGTGACGCTACGGGCAGGAAGGTTGGTGACGCTACGAGCAGGAAGGTTGGTGACGCTACGAGCAGGAAGGTTGGTGACGCTGCGGGCAGGAAGGTTGGTGATGCTACGGGCAGGAAGGTTGGTGATGCTACGGGCAGGAAGGTTGGTGACGCTGCGGGCAGGAAGGTTGGTGATGCTACGGGCAGGAAGGTTGGTGACGCTACGGGCAGGAAGGTTGGTGATGCTACGGGCAGGAAGGTTGGTGATGCTACGGGCAGGAAGGTTGGTGACGCTACGGGCAGGAAGGTTGGTGACGCTACGGGCAGGAAGGTTGGTGACGCTACGGGCAGGAAGGTTGGTGACGCTACGAGCAGGAAGGTTGGTGACGCTACGAGCAGGAAGGTTGGTGACGCTACGAGCAGGAAGGTTGGTGACGCTACGGGCAGGAAGGTTGGTGACGCTACGAGCAGGAAGGTTGGTGATGCTACGGGCAGGAAGGTTGGTGACGCTACGAGCAGGAAGGTTGGTGACGCTACGAGCAGGAAGGTTGGTGATGCTACGGGCAGGAAGGTTGGTGATGCTACGGGCAGGAAGGTTGGTGACTAGGGTTTCAAGCTCAACGAG